GTCAACAAAGCTGGAAGAAGCTGGAGATCTGAAGAGTGTTTTGACATCAGAGATGGAGATGGCAGGGTTTGAAGTTTGCCCATTTTTTTGGTTTTCCTTTAGTCCAGTATTTCTTCAATGCTCTTTTTTTCCCTTTTAGAATGATAATGTATATTCTGTGGCGCTGTATGTTGGTGTCTGATCTACTTTTTCATTTTGATTTTACAGGGGATTACAGTTAAAAGATTGCCATGAATCTCAGAAGAGACTTTTAAATAGTATTGAGACTGTAATAAAAGATGGGGATTTTTGAAGTTAGACTAAATGCATTTTGCACTATGATAAGGCCATAAGCATATGGAGGCCAGGGAGTGGAATGTAGTAGCTTGAATAAGAATGGCCTCCACAGGCTCATATACTTAAATGCTTAGTCACCAGGGTGTAGAACTATTTTATAGGTGTAGAAGGATCAGGACACAGTGGCTTTTTGGAGGAAGTATGTCACTAGGGGTGACGTGTCAGACCTAGTCTCACACTCTCTGCCTGCAGATCAGGATGTAACTCTCAAATATTTCTGTAACACCATGCCTGTCTGCCATGCCTGCTGCCCACCATAATGATAACAGACTAAACGTGTGAAACTATAAAAAAGCCCCCAGTTAAATGCTTTCTCTTGTAAGAGTTGCCATGGCCATGATATCTTTTCATAGAAATAAAATAGTGACTAAGATAGCCTATCATAAACTGAGAAACTAAGGTCTGCCCCTCAATATCAGGAGGGATAAGTAGAGTTGACCTTCAAAACATGTGGCTCAGCCAAAGCAGGGCAGAGAAGAAAACTATGGAAAACTGGGGGCTAAAATTAAGTGTGGGGAGCATCTTCCCTTGAGAATTAGGCTGAGGAAAAAGAAAAAAAAATGAAGTAATCAATTATCACTACTTACACGTGACAACAGACAACACACTAAACTACCGCAATTTAGCCTCCAACCCATATCTGCTGATTATTATCCTGATCAAATCATTCCCAACATCATGTAGTTTGCTAGGGTTTGCAAAAAAAACTACCAGAATATTTGATTTAACAGAGAGTTTTAATTCAATGTCCTTTCTGTTGTTTAATATAGAACAATATTTCAATATTTTGTGACTGTGGCAGCCCGATCTTGGGAATTAGCAAGTGGAGGCTTAATTTGTAATGACATCTTTTATATGGATACATACTAGTAATCTTTTGTTGTTCACAGATCTCTAACACCCAGGCTTGGAAGTTTCTGCAGGAAATAATTAATTACCCTCATCCTCAACACCACAGAAATTTAGGTTGTCAGATAATGTTCAAATTTTTAAGATGAGTTATTAACTTCCCTGTTGCTGGATTTTCTTGTCTTGCCAGGTCCTGTCAACCTTCTTAGCCCCAAATAAGCACACAGAGACTTATACTAATTATGAAACTATTGGCTGATGACTAGGGTTTCTTACTGGCTAACTCTGTCTTAATTATTAACCCATAACAACTAATCTATGTATCTCTACATGGCCTTTTTCTTATCAGAGAACACCTGGCTTGTCCTATCCTCCTGGTCTCCACATGGCAATTGTCTTTGGTGGTCTCTGCCTATCTTTCCCAGAATTCTCCTCATCCTAGTCCTACCTATCTTCCTGCCTTGTTGGCCAGACAGTGTTTAATTCATCAACCAATAAGAGAAACACATATACAGAAGGACATTCCCCCATCACTTTCCAAGAAGACATTCAAAGAATACAGCCAAATAAATCAATTTTTTTCTTCCAGTTTTAAGTCAATATGTCAAATCTCTGACAGAAAACAAACTAGCTAGACACATTGACAGCAGACTCCAAATCCAGGATGAGCTGCAGGGTGATGGAAGATCCACATCAGGCATTTCAACCAGGACCCACAGGAAATCCCAAGAGAAGCATTCTGATTGACAATTTTCATTATTATTGATAACACTTGTTGGCTTGAAGTGCATGCAAATTACCATTTGCTCTAATATTCAGTGACAGCTTATATTTCATTTAAAAGAGATCTATTTTTATACAAATTAAATCACAGAAGAGTCGTATTTAGATTAAGAGTTGAGGTCAACTAGAGTGTCATCCTGCAGTTCAGTTCAGAAACCCTACCCAATGACAGCACAATCCAGTGTCTTGAGTAGTTTCTGATGAGGAAATAATAAACCCTCTTAGTCAAAACTTTAAAAACTCTATTGTGACATGGAACTTTTCAAACTCCATATACAACCGTTTCACATTCCCAAGTCATAATCCAAATCAAAACTTGCCAACCTAAATTTCTTATAAAGTAAGAGTGGTGAGACAGGGAAAAGAAACACCTTTGTAGGAAGCTTTGCCAATTTTAAAAATAACACATACACACTGCAAAAAATATGATAAAAGATTAAAAAAAGAAATGAAAAATCCTTAAGGCCAGCCCCCAGACATGACAACCCACGGCATTTTGGTCTATAAATACATGCATTGCTATTTATGTATAGATAAGATGAGATCATACTACAAAGCTAAATTGCTTTAGAGCCTGCTTCTTTTTATACAAGTGTGATGCGCACACCCATATTAACAAACAGCACACTGTAATATTCTTTTAAAGAGCCATCGTATGGTATGGCAAATTTAGCCACCTCAGGATGGTTAGTGTAAATACAACTCATACTTCCATTTTGACATTTTCTGAAGGCAAAAAGTTTGAGTAGAGATGAGATGGTGTTGGAGTGGAGTAGATTAAGTAAAACTTAAGGATATCTGGGAAGGACTTATGGAAACCCACTGCTTTGAAATGTAAGTTTTAAAAAATAAGTTTTTAAATGGTTTGGACAGTGGTACCTTGTAGAAAACAATGCTTCACCTAGAATACATGAGTTGTTAAGTGAAAAATATCAATGCTGTGTGTTTGCCCTACAAATTATTGGACAGGGAAGTTGTAGCCCTCCCTCCACAAAAAAATAGGTTTATGACATTGCCATTGATTTCTCACCGTGGCTAGACGATGAGACCTTACTGAAGAAAACATTCCAGCATGGAATGAGGCTCCATCCTTAGCCAATGGCCGCTGGAGGTGTGACCACTGTTGGGTTCCCCAGGATGGCCCCACACCCATAAACATATGGGCAGCACTAAGCAGGAGAAAGAAAGAAAGGAAGGAAGACATGAAGTAAGAGAGGTGAGTGTCCTGGGGGAATTTAAGAGAAGGGGAGTATTTAGGTTAGAGGTGATCCAGATACATTGTATACATATAAGGAATTGCCAGGGAATAAATGAAAACATTAAAAATAAATAAATAGTTAATTAAAAGAGAAAAGAATTAGAACCACTAACTCCTGGCTATTGATAAGTGCCACTAGAGTCCCCTCCAGAAAGAAAGCACAGCACATGCAGAAACTGGAACTATTTTCTCCATAATGCCATTAAAAATGCCAACTCTTTTCTCATGTCTGCAGACAGTTTAGTGGACACACTGTGGTTCTAGATGTAGGATTCCATAACCAGCTTCAAATCCTAGTTTTGCTGTAACTCACCTCCATTATCTTCCTCAGCTGTTCCCAGATTTCTGTAAAACGGATGACATCACTGCACCTGCCTAAGCTAACATGGCCTACAATAAGCTCTTAGTGCACTGCACTCTTATTAAACCAGATGGTGTCCACCAAACGACTTTAAAAAATGGGGGGGAAGTTAATTTGTATTTTCTTTGATTTTTACTGGAAATGATTACAGAGTGCTGTACTTAATTTTTATTAACTATCTTTATTTCCAAAACCCTGTCACATCTATCAAGTCAATCATGATTTACAAATAAATGTAAATTGATTTAGTTTTCTTTGATAATCACATTAAACTTCTAAAATAATAGATAATAAAGCAGCGGTCATAAAAATCCCCATGAGTTTATGTGATAAAAATACTAAGTGTTTCAAACTATAAAACTGTAAAAAGTTACAGCATATACATTTTTCTGTATGTTTTTCTTATAAAGTTTCTTTAGCTGCAACTGTATAATTTCTAAATTAGGGCATTGCTGTGGGGGAGTTATGAATAATTTTGTTAAAGTAATCTTTATTAACCAAATTCAATGTGTACTTTCAATAAAGACCATAGCAAATTTTTCTAGCAACAAAATAGTCTGTCTTATGAAAATAGCTTTACTGTATCCCCTTGTTGGTCTTGAGCCTACAATTCTCTGGTCTCTGCCTCCCAAGTGCTGGGATTATAGGTATGTGCCACCAAACCAGGCTTAAACAACTGTAAATTTTGAACACAAAGATTAGCACTTAAAATACACTACTCAAATTAATTTGCAAGGCAGAAGAAACATGAAAAAAATGATGGATGGTGTCAAGTAACTGACAATTATTTTTGTTCAATAAGTATATATCATAAATAAGAGAAAAAATAAACCACCATTTCCAAAAAAAACACTGATCCCTTTAAGTTTATAAGGAGCCATACTTCAGTGCCCGTCCTTCAATACTGAGACTCACGCATGCCAAGCTCAACTGAATATGCCCCACACTATATCTCCAGCACTGATGGTCTTACAAAGTTGCCCAAAGAACAACTAGGATTATGGTCTACTACTTAATGTTACTCAGTTCTCATCCTAAAGTAGAAACATATGTTTCTTTTTGACCCTATTTCCCACAACTCACAGCCTGTATTCCCATGCCCTGGGAAGGAGCATGAATTTCTACATATAATCTACATATAAAAGACTTCAGCATGAGTCAGGCTTCCAATTGCTAATTACCAAAATCAGGGTCCTATAGTCACAAAATATTCAAATACTGTTTTATATCGAACAACAGAAAGTACCCTGTATTAAAATTCTATGCTAAATCAAATATTCTGGATCTTTTATACATCCTAACAAAATACATGAAAGAAAACCTAAGGGAAAAATTGTAAATCAGAATAAAAACATATTTATTAAACTGTGGGCTTGCATAATCTTCTGTCATCAGCTTACCTTCTTCCAATAGGGAAACAGCCACAAAGTGGACTTGCCTTTGTCTTTGGTATCCAGTCTCCCAGAAGCACTTTGAATGAGCAGACTGCAAATGGCACTTGGGGAGTCAGAAGTGACCATCTGTCCTACGCAGAAAGGTAGGGAAACCTTAGAGCAATGGCTCCAACCTTCCTAATGCTATGACTCTTTAATACAACTCATGTTGTCGTGACCCCCAAACACAAAATTATTTCATTGCGTCTTTGTAGCTGTAATGTTGCTACTGTTATGAATCATAATTAAATATCTGATATGCGGGATGTCTCACACATGACCCCTGAGAAAGGGTCATTCGACCTTTACAGGGGTCATGACCCACAGGTTGAGAAATGTTGCCTGAAGGTTCTGGAGTCAACGCCTGAGCTAATGAAAGACTACCCAGGGACCACTGCAGTCTGCAAATGGAAGTAACTGTATCCCAGTGTGTATGAAAGCAGGCAAGGGACAAGGATTCCCAAATGTGACCAGCCACTCTTCCTGTTTACTGCTCTCACGGAGAGTGCCCTTTGAACAAGGAAGAGCAGGGCTAAGAAGCACTGGATTTATTTGTCTACAGATCGTTCAGAAAGTCAAATGAAGGAAATGCATTGTATCAGCTGAGGCATAGCAAGAAGCCAGTCCACAGGGTAGCCTCGATGCTTTTTGACTGAAGATGCTGGCAATTTAAGCAGCCTGGCTTCTTCTTTGTCAATGCACCAATATGTTTACTGTGCATGTGGGTACATAGTTGGAGGAGCCAAAAGATTCTCCAATAATGGGTTTACTGATCCATGGAGATTGGTTTCTAGAATTTATATTCCTGGGACATGCTCTAAACAAAGAAAAAAATGAATTAAGCCTAACAAATTAAAAATACTAAAACAAAACAAAAAACCCCCACACTCATAGTGTCCACTATGTAGATACAGTATGATATAAGATATAAATTTCTGAACATCACTCTGCTAGCATGTGTCAGAGAGACACTCGATGTATCTGCCTCTGATGTTATAAAACTCTGATCATGGACAGGCATTGGTGACGCACACCTTTAATCCCAGCACTCGGGAGGCAGAGGCAAACAGATCTCTATGAGTTTGAAGCTAGTCTGGTCTACAGAGTGAGTTCCAGGACAGCCTCCAAAGCAAGGAAACCCTGTCTCGAAAACACACACACACACACACACACACACACACACACACACACACACACACACACACACACACAAACCTCTGATCATGTCAAGTTACAGTGGTATCTTATCAGTTCACTTTTACATAGAAGTTTAAGATGAAGGTCCTTCAGACAGTCTAGTCAAATACATGCACATCTGAACAACACTATCTGATGTTCTTGGTGTTGGGTGACGGGATGACTTTTTCTAAGGTAGCACAGCTTATAAAAATGGACCTAGAGTGACCGTCTGCATTAGTCATGGTGTATGCAGTAACCCAGTGCTACCTTCCCTAATGGGGTCACTTGTGACCTCACTATGAGTCCTGTGGGGAAAAGAAAAGGTATTTCATCTTTGCTCATGAGACTAGAAATAAAGAGAAAAAGCAACAGTAGTTATTACTACATGCATTACACTGTCAGTCATAATTGTTAGTATGGTTTCCTGAAGGGTGACTTTTATTTGTTTTTTCTGTTTATATGTCTCTTTGACTCTGTGTGTGTGTGTGTGTGTGTGAGAGAGAGAGAGAGAGAGAGAGAGAGAGAGAGAGAGAGAGAGAGAGAGAGAGAGAGAGAGAGAGAGAGAGGGAGAGAGAGCCTGTGCATGAGAGCTGCTGTAGTGCTTGGAATGTTTGGGAAAAGGTTGAAAAAGACCCAAACTGGATTTGTCATGCAAGTCAGGCTGAAAACCACCCACTACCAACCCCCTTCCCTTCAACAAAAGAAAATAAAAACTGCAGCTGCAAAGAGAAAATTTAATAGAAGCAGAAGTTCAGAACTATGTGCAGGGCTTTTTCTAAATACTAAGGTAGCCTGGCATCCATCTGCATTCTGACTAAAATGGTAGTGATTGTAGAGAGAGTGCTATTTTTCATCACTGTTTTAAACCCGCTTATATAATATTCTATTTTATGTCATAAAGTGAAACTGCTCCTGAGATAATGAACTGAAGTCCCTCATATCTTTGTTCTGTGAGCTTGGCTATGCAGTCTTCCTCACCCAGAGATACTTTGGTGGGGATCTGTAATGTGACTCCCCCTCCTCCGAAAGTCCAAAGGGGCAGCCAAATCCAGAGAACAACATTCACCATCTGGGCTTCATTTTGATCCAGGAAACAAAGATTAAGAGGTGCAGAAAAGTTTCTTGTACCAATTCCCTTTCCTCCTCTTCCTCCTTTCCTCTTCTCCCTCCTCCTCCATATCCTCCTATGAAAACAGGTCCTTTTCTTTTACTTTCAAACACATATATAAGTTTTTCCAAACCTATTTTCCAATAATTTTAAAGCAGATACATTTAAATTGCTTCCCACTTTGGGGCCCATTATCAACTAAACTCAACTTAACTCAACTGCTTCTAATTTCATTCTGGAACTTTCAACATGAAATACATGAAAAATGGCAGCTAGGAGCACAGTCAGGCTGACATTGTGTCAGCAACTGTCATTGCCTTGCCATGATTCCCATTGTAGAGGTCTTTACTGTCCACACCCCAGAGTTTCCATCTATAAAATAGTAAAGACAGAATAGGATGGGGGAAAATTAGTGAAGGGCTAAGCCCCATATTAATGCTAGGAGTTAGACTTTTAATCTAGGCACATAGTTTTTCTTCTAGTTTACCAACCATGAAGACACCACCAAAACCTAAGCAGGGTCTATTGCTTCTCAAGATATCAAGTGACAGGATTTTGGTGACTAAGCTTAGACATTCAATCCTCTTTCTATTACAAAACAACCAACCAAAAAGGAAAAACAGTCAAAGGGAATCTTAAAGTATAATGCCCACTGTTTTAAAACAAGAGGCAAAACTAAGACCTGTAAGAATTCAGGGAAGAAAAAAAGGTTACTACCATAATTTCTTCATGCACATTTTAGGAAACAGAATGGCCCTCAAATAGGATGTGGCAGCACCCTTGTAGAGCTCTTGCTGGATAGGGGCTGCATGTATTTGCCTATATCCTCAAGTGCTCCAGGGAAGGTGGTTTGATGGCCCCCTCAATAGAAAATGAACACCCAAGAACAGATGTAGGAGTAGGCAGGTTTTATTTCTTACTAACAAATTAAAGAATTTGGCAATAAATTTTTTAAGCAGATGGATTGGAATATTTTGGGAAATGCTAAGGGGTTGATTTTGAATTGCATTTTAGAACCTCAAGTTATATAGAAATAAGATTTTTGGCTAATGTAATTGCCTTCCAAATTCAGCAGGGTTTATTAAAGGCAGCAGTCATTACTTTAACTTTGATCTAGAACAATCTATTAAGCAGTAGTTAACCTTAATCAGGAATTAAGGTTCAAATAGTTAAAAATAAAACTAGACTGAATGTCCTTTTCAGCAAGAGGAATAATTAAAAAATAAACATGTGCCCTAGACAAGATGGGCCTGACCCAAGACAAGACGGGTCACATCCCATCATGATTTTGGGGCTGTTCTTGAGGTGAAAAAAAAAACAAAATAAAACAAAACATTACTTCTGCCTTTGAACCTAATCTTTCATTAGGGAATCTGTTTTATTGTTTTTTGTTTTGTTTTTTTTTGGTTTTGGTTTTGGTTTTGTTTTTTTGAGACAAGGTTTGTCTGTATTGGAACTCATTTTGTAGATCAGGCTGGCCTCAAATTCACAGAGATACTCCTGCTTCTGCCTCCCAAGTACTGGGAGTAAAGGCGTGCGCCACCAACGCCCAGCTGTGCCACCAACGCTGGGCCTGTTTTATTGTTTACCCTGTCCATGGTAAAAATTTAATAAGCTTTCTCTACAAGATTGTGTCTGCATTAAACTCAAACTTGTGCTTCCTAAGATTCCTTGACAAACTCGTGCCCATTCTGGTTGACTACTAATCCAAAAAGACACAACTAAAATTCAAAGTTTGAAATGTTTTATTTTCTTCAACCTTTCTGTGTAGCAGGCTTCCTCAGACCAGCAGCCCCCACATCATGACAGAGAGACTTATTAATTATGAATGCTCGGCCTTATCTATGCTTGACCCACTACTTCTTACAATTTACTTTAACTTGTTTCTTTTCATCTATGTTTTGTCTTGGGGCTTTTTACCGTTCTTTATTCTGTATGTCCTAATTTCCTGCTTCTTCCATGTCTGGATGGCTGCCTGGCTGGCTGGCCAGTCCCAGTGACTTCCTCTATTTCTCCCTCCTTCTCTCTCATTTTCTCTCTCAAGCCTAGATTACTCCTCCTACTACTTATTCTCTCTGCCTGCCAGCCCCTCCTAGCCCTATACTGCCTGCCTATTAGCAATTCAGGTTTTTATTAGACCAATCAGGTGCTTAGGCAGACAAGGAAAAACAAATGTAACACATCTTTACATAGTTAAACAAATACAGCATAAATGTAACACATCTCTACATAGCTAAACAAATATTCTATTCCACAACATTTCTCTTTCCCACTGTATATACAATGGAGTCATTGTTTTTTCTTTGGCTCTTTTCTTAGATCAATTGCCTAGTTAATACTTACTAAACATCTGCTCCATACTCTCCTTCAAAGCAATTGCTTTCACGGAATATCCAAATATACAACTATGAATCTTCATTCAAACCTAATCCCATAGCCTCTTAATTGGCTCTCTAACATCGTACCTTATAAAAACGTATTTTAGAGGCCACAAAACTAGCAATTCTTTCCTCCACAACAACATGCCAGTGATCAATTACAAGTGACCCTCCCTACTCTCTGATGTTGACAATACAGGAAATCATGTTAACTAAATCTGTAAATGAGCCCTAAAATGCTCTACTGGGGCTGGCTCTGACTGGCTCAGGAGCCATCTTTCCCCAGCCTTCAGAGAGTCTGACTTGGCAGCTTGAAATAAGCTCCCAGGAAACTCTTTGTACTTGTGCGACTTTCCTCTAAATAGTCCTATCTCCAAAACGTTATCCAATATGCTCACTTTTGGGCACTCTGAGGGTAGCTACACTTTACTATTTACAT